TGGTAAGTTAGGTTCGCGACCACGGCATCTACAGTTTTTCAGAAACTGATAGCAACTTTTGTTTTTCTTATTGAATACTTTGACGTAGACCTCACAGTTTTCGAAATAACAATAAAAGTCATGTTTTTCAAGTAAGCAATGGCCGGTTTGGAAAATAATTCCTGTCATTTCTGACATTCAAAAGTCCATTGAGCTTTGTTAGTAGAGTTAATAAAATATGATTTATTCAACTAAAACCAAGAGGATAGAAATTCTAATATTGATTAAAATAGAGTATTTGATGTTCCAAGGAAACATGATGAAAATTAAAAACGAAGAAGTTGTTAATTCAAACTTCAAAACAAGATATTAAACTGTCGTCAATATACTTCTTGGCAATAAGCTAGATATTGCTGAAAGGCATTTAGAACATTTTGAAGACATCCGCTTTCCTCGATTCTTCTACATGCATTTTCTATTCGTTGCTTTAGTTCCTCCAACATTTTGAGCGCAATGCGGAGGTGCACCATCTTGTTGAAGCCATATTCTGTCGTTGATGTGAACAGTTTTTTTTTGCTCAAGGGGAAGGGGTGGCTTCCAGTAATATCAGCTGCAAAACAGGTACAAGTCAGCTACAAAACAAAGCTGGAGGAGTGTGAATGGAAACTAAAACAACTAACCGCAAGGTACAAAATAAAAGGTGCTACTCCATAAACTGGTATTAAGGGCCTAATATCCCAGAATCTGGAAGTTAACGAAACGACCACGCACCAAAAAACCTCAATAGAAAAGTGAAAATGACGCCGAACACATGACTTTTTAAAAGGAAGGTTAAATGAGTGGCCTTGAAGAAGGTATGTTCGAAACGAAACCAAAAGAAACTTAGAAAAACCAAAAAGTGTTTTGCTGATTGCCGATGCAGAAAACTAACTACGAGAGACCACGATATTTTATGAGGAAATTTGTGAGATAGTCGTTAATAATACTGTAGCATTAGTGTCCAAAAAATTTTAACACAATACTGAGTCGCTGAGAAAGATAAAATTCATGAGAAGTTATACAATCAATAAACTATGAAATTTGTCAAAAGAACATTATTAAAAATATTAAAAAAACGGTAACGTGATATTGTTGATACACTTGGTGAGATGTATTATCTTCACGAAGTGTTCTAGTAGGATGGTGGGTGGTTTTCGCTATGCTCACTAAAATATTCAAAGCCTTATTTTCATCAGTGGCTGTTTTGGGGCGGCCAGATCGTGGAACATCCTTTACATGTTATTTCAAATTTCTTCAAAACTTTTCCAACAGTAGACCTTGTTATTGGATTCCGGTTGGGGTATTTGTCATTAAAAATATCCCAAACTTGGTATGAGCGTCGACGATTGCCATAAACCAGTATCATTAGAATTTCTATTCTCTCTGTTCTGTTAAATCAAACATTCTCAATATCTGTACCAACAAAACTCAATGGACTTTTGAATGTCAAAAATAACAGGAAATTACTTTCGATACCGGTCATTGGTAAGGTGAAAAAATACCTTTTATTGTTTGAATATTGTTGGATCGCGAATATTGCGAAAACTATGAGGTCCACGTCAAAGTGTGTTTAATAAGAAGTATTCAGAATTACACGCAGAATACAAATATCGAATAAAATGTATATCATTCCATAAGGAAAACAAAAGTTGCTATCAGTTTCTGAAGAACTGTAGATTTGGCAACATCGCGGATATCATCAAAGGATCCGCCGTGGTTTTGAACCTAAGCCTACCAATTTTTAAAAAATTTACATGAGTCATTCGCCGGATATTCGATGCGTTCCAAACCTGTGTTACAGTCTGTATTATTTGCAATACTTAACATTTTCTAACAGTTTTACAATAACAGTATTATTCAGTGTGTTCGTACCATACTACACTAGGATTTTACAGAATTGTGCGTTATTCAAAACGGTTCAACTTTATTCTGAGGTATATGTGTTCCAAAGAGGGTGTGCTAGTTAGGTTTACAAAAATTCCCACAAAGCTGAAAATTTGTATCGACCTTGAATACACCATTATGTATAATATATCACAACTCCTCATGTATCCTTGGAGCGGAACATTGTTTTATTTGGGTTGAAATGTCACGCTTTGTCATTTTTCTTTGAAGCGAAAGAGATACCACAAAAATACCTTATACAAAAATTGTAGAAAATATAATAATCTATAAAAGTTGTTCAAGTACTCTTCGACTCTTATACGGCATATATTATGCGTATATCATCGACGGTTCCATATGAACATATATGTGGAAGCAAACATCCAAACACATCCTGGTCTATTTAAGGTGCGCTCAAATGAACAAAAGGGGAATCGAATTTGCGGAAAAAATCATACCCACTTGAAAATTGTTTTATGCCTTAAATATGTTATTAGAAGAAATACATATGTACATATATCAAAAGTTCCCGTCAATGGGGCGAAAAATTTTGTATTGGAGGTTACGTCAAAATTACCATTTTTTTAAATTTCTCTGAAACAGTACGACTAACCACAAAATAGATTATTCCAAAATTGTAGGCAATAGAAATCTCTATGAAACTTGCCCAGTTAAATTTTTGTGAGTCGCTGTTTATGCGTTCCTTGATCTAAAGGATCTAAGACACTGCTAAGGCTCATACGCGGCATGTTTTATGTATACATCATCGATCGTTATATGTATACTTTTACAAGGTATTAAAAAAATATGCATGTGCCTTCGTAAAACAATTGTAAGAGCTGCAATAACAACTGCAGCGGTAAGAAAGTGGAATCAGCCTGTTGATCAGTATGCGGCAATTGCCAGGGTCAATCATGCTCTAATGCTGAGTCGCATCTAGCTGAAGGTCAGAATGGCGAGAAAGAAAATTGAGGAATTTCAAATCTCTATGTAAATATACATATATTTATAGTAGTTTGATAATGGAAAATATTTGGATCGTGGAGTATGCCTACTGGAGAAAAAAACGTAAAACAATGCGCCAGATTTACTATCTCAAAGGTGGTATGGAAATGTGTAGATATTATGCAGAATACTTTATCAACTTTGAAAACCTCAATACGTAATGGTCAGAAAGAAAAATCTGAATAACTTATGTAGAAAACAATCTGGGAAAAACACTTATGTAGATTGAAGTGACAACCACTATTGTTGTTATTCAGCCGATGATCAAAAGTGGCCCAGGACATATGTCCAAGTGGACGCGGGATGCTTAAGACAGTCACTTTGCTGGATTATGGTTTTAATATTTTCTTCTATATATATATATATATATATATATATATATATATATATATATATATATATATATCTGTAGTTATAGAAAAATACGTTATAAAGAATGCCTCATAAATGAAAAGTTATATGGAAACAGTACCTGTTCTACAAAAGTCATTAACTGATTTTTATGATGACTAGCTCAAAAAAATGGTACAATATTTTCATTACATTTGAAGTTTTATAGAGGGTTACATGCTCTACAATTTTGGTGTAAGCTATTTCTGTGGTTAGCCGTACCGTTTCAGAGGAATACAAAAAAAAATAATAATATATAGATATATCAGTTAGAATAACGTAATGAAGACCTGAAGCAATTTTCAAATACGATTTTCCTTTCGTTCATTTTGAATGCACCTTAGTGTTTGTGTTGAATGGTACGGGTCATTACTATTACCTTCTTTTTGAGTTGTCAAGCATTTCGCATTCAATTGTTTTGTATCCAAAGCATTGATTGCTCATAGAACGAATTTTTAGAAAAATCACATACTTTTTTGACACACCCTGTATGTATTTTAGTCGCAAACATCAATGCTCAGTATATTCATATCGAACGGTCGATGGCGTACACATAATATATGCCACATAAGAGCAGAAAAGTACCTGTCAATCCACAGAACACTAGATCGCATAAACGATGACTCAATGAATAAAAGTATTTGAACAGCTTTTATAGATAATTGTATTCTCTACAATTTTTGTAAAATGTACCTTAATGGTATCTCCTTCCGTTTAAAGAAATATGATAAAATCTGATATTTTGACATATCAAACCAAACAAAACAAAGTTCCGCTCCAACAGTCTATTCATATTAGCAAATTTCCCCGAAATAACTGTAAAGTCTCGTTTTATTGGTGCAAGTTGTTCAAGGGGGTATTTGAAACATGGGCGCATAAAATAGGTACACCACAAAACTTTTTATTTGACAACAAAGAATGAGAAAACGTGTTTTTTGGGATTCAATAGAAAGTGTTGACAGGAACGAAAAAAAACTTTTCATATAAGATTTTTAAGTATTTATGAGACCTACAAAATGAGACCCCACGTGAAAAGATCCGACTAATAAATAGCAAAACTGTTATGGCCGATAAACAAGGCAAATGCAGGTTTTGGCACTTGTTGGTAATTCGACGATAATTTCACGCAAGTAGTTTTTTAAGTATTTCTAATTGTTTATCCCAAAACACCTGTTTTCTGGCCATCACTACTAGCTTATTGAGCAATATACAGGGTTCGTTCAAAGAGCATTTAATAGCAAAATACACGTTTACCTTGCCTATATGAATCACAAACCCATTCCGAAAGATATATGTATTTTTATGCGAAAACAAAGGTTGCGTTTTTTCTTCTAAACAAATTCAAACATTTCGTATTGTGAGTAATAATGAAACCAGACTACAATTATTTCGCAAACCAGGGGTATTTTCGTCTAATATGATATATAAGGAGTTTTATATATTGTTGACTAAGCTATGAACGAGTTAATGAAATCCAGTTTTATTTTAAATAATAAATAATATGCTTGATGTCTATTATCCTTAAAATTGGGTAAACATAATTTTATACATTACTTTACTCGCTTTGGCCTTTTGCAGAGAATAATAATTTGAAATCGCAATCTAGCAACAATGAAGTAGAAAACATTTGTGACAGTAATATTTCACAATAGGACTTCATCAAACCGAAAAGTAGTGGAACAAAGGTAATTGTTTTCTGGAAGAGATGGAAAAGTTGATAAAAACGGGTGTAATGACAAAAATCAAAGTGAAACCGACACGACAGAAACTTACTCTGATGACCCACAATCCGAAGAAAAAGAGAATCGTTATAAAAAAACTGCTATATCATGTTCGAAAAGTCCAAAAAATAGTTGTTCAGAGACTAATGAAAAGAGAAGAGGTAGGCTAAGAAAAGCAAGGGCAAAAAGTGAAAGTGAGACCGATTCTGCCACTTCGGATGAAGAGTTCACTTTGATAAACAAACATAAGAAACTAGTAATGGTAAACGATAGGAAAAGGATACAGCCGAAAAGAAATAGCTCCAGCGAAATCGAGTCATCCTGCGATGACTCCACATTGTCTGAAATCGAGGAAGTTAATATATCTGCAAAAACGATTCAGCAGTTGGAAGTCCCACTTCGAATGTTGATAGAACAGTAACACCACATGCAAGGGGGATGGAACTGTCACTGAAATAGGTTAGTTATAAAAGAAACGTTTTCTTACTATTGTCCTAAAAGATCATCAGCATTGACCACAATCATTCAATGGGGAGTAATCTTTACTTCCATAAATACCCTAGATGAATGGTATTTACAATTGGTTCTGTCAATTTCATTGTCTTAGTTTGACAAGTGAACAACTGTTGGGACATAGAAAATGCAACCCGACAAGGAGTGCTGTAATTTTGAGCATACTTTTACAAGTTTTAGGTCTAGTGATACATAGAAAGTGGTTAAAATGTTAACTCGAAATTTCGCAAAATAGCTGAAATATCCCACCTTAATGTTACAATGTGTTGAAGCTCCTCCGTTTGCTACGGATCGTTAAGGCTTCGCGGCATTGACTGGATTAGGTGATTGATCTCTTGTTGGTGTATTGTATCCCATCTGAATTTGGTTTTCGTAGAGCCTCCAATGTTTGTGGAGGGTGTGGTGAGTTTTGCAACCTTCTTCCCATCATGTCCCAAACATGTTCGATGGGGGAACGGTCTGCAGATCGAGGAGGCCACTGAAACACATTTACTCCGAGCGCTTCTAAAAAGTCTAAACTAACACGTTCAAAATGAGGTCGTGCACTGTCCTGCTGAAAAAGTAGATCTTGCAATGTTTCCAAAAAGGGAAGCAGATGTGGTCGTAAAACTTCGTGGATATAGCGCTGGGCAGTCATGCTACCTAGAATGAACACTAATCGTGACGTACTGCCGTAAGCAATGGCACCCCATACCATAACATCCACAGTGCGATGAATATGCCGTTCGATAGAATATTGAACGTTGTCTTTCACGTCTCCTCCTTACTCTTCCACGGTCATCATGTGTGCCCAAACGGAATCTGGACGCATCGCTGAACACGACTGAGTTCCATTCCATATTCTGTTTAAGTCTCTTTCTACTCCATACCAATCGTTGCCAACGATGCTAAGGGGTCAGGGGTAGTACA